AATCGAGGGACTTACTCCAGAGCCTTCTGAGCTAACTTGTGAGCTTGGCAGAGGTTTAACCAAGTGAGCAAGGGTCCGTTGGCCTAGACGTGCATTCGTGGAGCGACGTTGCAGTGTTGGACTTGTATGCATGATGTGTGGGCTATGTTGGGCTATGGCCTAAGACACATGGAGACACACATGGCTAAGGCCAAGGATCGAATGTTGCCCTATTCAAGTGATGCGATGGCTAAGTGCTGGTGAACGATGCGACTAACAAGCTTGAGGATTGGAAGTGCATGCAGCAACGATGCTCAGGTCCCGGCATGGCACAAGTATGTCCATAGCCAAACCCCAAGGCGCACATGGAAGTGATCCAGCATGTATGGGTGTGTCATATGAGTCAAATACATGTCAATGCCATAGTTAAACAGGAGACGAGCAACACAATGAGGGAAGCCTTGAGGCAGACCTCTCCATAGGTACAAGGATAGGTACAAGGATCGTACTGAGGTAACTGGAAAAATTTGAAAGGCTGGCCCTAGGCTATAGGGAGCTTTGTGCACCGCACAAGTATATTGTGTGCCGCTAAGGCAGTCGAAAATAAGCTTGTGACATCTACGTTGATTAAACAAATCCGTTCCAGCTCTGTGTTCCTGTGGTCGTATAATATCCTGACTATTAGGTAATGCTTTATGGCTAATAGAAAAGCGTTGTTGATGATGTCGAACAAAAATGAGAAAATAGACCCAACTTTTAAAAAGGCCTACAATAAAAGATCTAGATGCCATGAACTATATAAAATGACGCAAGCTATCAAAAAGGAAATTGCCTTAACAAAAACCCAGGCAAATAAAGTTGAGTCAAGGAGACAACATTTCGCTGATAACTCAACCCTCTCTGAATCTTCCTTCGAGCAGCCAAATTCTGCTAAACAACATCAAGTATATATATTGATACAATATTAACTCCATTTACATGAAAGGATCAACATCAAATACCAATGAACAATGTGAAGAAAATTCAACAACGACTCAAACATCCATAAATTATTGTATGTTAAAATCTGTCCCAAAATTAAATTTTGTGCTGCAAAAAGATTTGAATATGAATCTGTAGGTTTATGTTGTGCCAAAGGTGCTATTAAGCTAATTTCCCACCAACTTCCACCAGATTTGAAAAATCGCTATCTTGAAAATAATGTGAAATCAAAACTTTTCCGAACTTATATAAGAACCTACAAAAATATGTTTGCCTTCACATCCCTTGGAGTAAATTACCATAAAGATTTAGTGAAAAGAAATAAAGGTATTTACACATTTTGGGTTCAAGGTAAAATGTATCATTTCATAGAGGATTTAATGCCAAGTGGTGAAAAAGTGAAAAATCTTCAACTATACTATTTTGACAGTGAAAATGAATTGAAAACTCGAATGGCAAGTTCTGATAAATTAACTGAAGAAATTGTGGAAACTTTAATGGAAATATTACAAATTAATCCATACTCTATATTCTTAAAATCATTAATAAAATTTTCCACAGTTATCTGATTTATATATTGCTCTTAAATGTGATGCTGGTCCGAATCAACGGACATATAATGTACCAACTGCATCAGAGGTTGCAGGAATATGGCTAGAAATCTACTAACAATTATATTTCCACACCTCATATCAGAATATATACCAAAAGTGATAGAAGCCAATTAGTAAATTATTATTACGGCTGTTATGATCCATTACAGTATCCATTGCTATTTCCTTATGGTGAAAATGGATGACATTGTGGTAGTAAGAAATCAAACCTTCAATTAATTATTGTACAGCACAAACATATTGGAAAAATGAAGAATTACCAAATGTTAAAAACATAACATCAATTGATGGATTTTTAAATTTAGAGGATGAAATTATGAACAAAGGTAAGCGAAAAAGAGAAACTATTTCTTGTCGTGAATATTATTGTTATAAACTTCAAATAAGAGATGATGAAAATATAATTTTGCATTCAGGCAGATTATTCCAACAATATGTAGTAGATGAATGGATCAAAATTGAAACTCAAAGACTTGATTTTACTTCTTTCAACAAAGACTTGTTTAAAACTGATATGTTAGATGAGCTTCTAGATGTTCTGCGGTGTGGTGAAAGAGAAGCTTCGCAAGTAGGTAAACATAGAATAATTCCCCTTAGTTTTACGGGAGGTCCTAGAGATATGTATCTTTACCGACGATACATGGATGCTATGGCTTTAGTTCAACGTTTTGGAAAGCCTGATATTTTTTTTAACTATGACATGTAATCCTTCTTGGCCTTAATTTAAAGAAAATTTGTTGCCAACTGAACAAGCACAAAATAGACCATATTTAGTTTGTCGAATAATTCGAGCAAAATTAGAACAATTAAAAAAATATATTAAGCGCACATATATTTGGCAAAGTTGTTGCATCTATGTATACAATAGAATTTCAAAAACGGGGTCTTCCTCATGCTCATTTCCTTTTTATACTTGAAGAAAAATATAAAATATTAACACCTGAAGCATATGATAAATTTGTTTATCGAGCTACCAGATCCTAAAACAAATCCTCATTTATTTGAACTTGTTCATTATCATAGTCCTTGTGGTACATTAAACCTTGTATCTTGTATGGGGAAAAAAGGTCATTGTAAATTCAAATATCCAAAGCAATATTCTGAACATACTACTAAAGGTAAAGTTCTTGGTAAAAGTTCTTATCCAATTTATAGAAGACGAAATATAGGACAATGTATAAAAATTGGAGGTCATCTTCTTGATAACTCATGGGTTGTCCCTTACAATCCATATTTGCTTTGTAAATTCAACTGTCATGATATTAAAATTGTAAAATATATTTATAAGTATATATGCAAAGGACATGATAAAATTGTATTTCATTTACACACTAATTATACAATATAGAAATTGATGAAACAAGAGAATACTAATCCGCCCGATGGGTAGATCCACCAGAAGCTACATGGAATATATATGTTTTTCCTATTAGTGAAATGAATCCATGTTTATACCATCTTCAACTTCATCTTGATGGACAACTTGTCTCCTTAAAAAATACTGACAATATTGATAAAATTATAAATAATCCTATGATTAAAAAAACTATGTTAATTGAATTTTTCCTAATGAATAAAATGAATAAGGAAGCTATGAATTTAAATTTATTATATAGAGAATTTTCAGAATATTTTGTATGGTCAACTTCATATAAAATGTGGACACGTCGTAAACAAAGAAATGCAATTGGTCGTGTTGTGACATGTCACCCAACGGAAGGAGAAAGATATTATCTTAGACTCCTTTTAATGAATATAAGAGGACCTAAATCATATGAAGACTTACTAACTGTCAATGGAGAATATTGTAGTACATTTAGAGAATCTGCAGAGAAAAGAAGATTTTTGCTTTCTAAGAATAATTTAACAGAATGTATGTTCAGGCAGTGAGTTATCAAATCTCGTCCAGCTTAAGACATTTATTTGTTGTGTTGTTAGTTTAATGTAATCCAAATAACCCTAAAGAGTTGTGGGAAAAAATTGAACCTTCAATGTCTGAAGATTTCAACAAATATCTAGGTCTATCTTCAAAAGAAATTCGTTATAAAGTACTAATTCATATTACTGATATTCTTTATTCAATGGGCCGCGATATCAACGAGTTTGAACTAATTTCAGGAACAGTAAAACCTTCAGCAACAGCTAAAGAAGCAAAAGATGTTACCTACATTTTGAAATATGATTGGAGCCACTTTTTGTGTCGTCGACTTCCACGCGATGCCTCTTACAAACTATCTCACCAGGTTGGCTACTAAACATACTTATTTTTTTATTGGTAAAACATACTTATTTTTTATTCACTTTTGACCTTCACTATTTTGCATAACAGGTCTCACTCACAACAAGACAATCGTTGACGCATCGCTTCCTTTTGGATTATGTAAATAAAATGTACATACGTGTCTTGTAAAACTTGGCTCCAACGCTTAATATATATAAATATAATATGTGTGTATCACATTTGCAATGTTGGGTCGGTGCTGGCACGAGCCATGCACCTCTAGTATCTTTAAAAATGTGAGTTCATCCTTCCCCTGGTGTTTCATCAAATGTGGTTCTTTAGCATGTGACAAACAGTTCACCTGGATGTCCACACCTGGCAGACCCTCCCATTTGCACCCTTTTTACAGAGCAGCAATGACACGGGGAAGTTGAAAACTTAAGTGGAACATAGTGAATTTTATTGCTTGTAATTAGTATACCCTTCTTTTCCCAAACATTAGTTGTGGATGATTTTATCAGAAATGCTTATTTAAGATTGTATCTTTTATTTTTCTGTAGGTTTTGCCTGATCCTTTTCACATTGTATGCATATCTGAGGATGGTCTAAAGGAATTTATAACTTGGAAACTTGAAACCTTGGTATCTATTGCACGATAGGTAATATTTCGTTTTAATTATATCTGTCTTGTTGTTCTTTTGGATTTGTAATTTTCTTAAGGTCTGTTGAATGATTTTTTGTTTGGAGCACATCCGTAAATATCTGCCAGAGTAGCTCTCTCTGATATCAGAATTATGGTCATCTCCTGTTGCTAACAGACCTGTTCACATTGCTCCTGTAAGTAGTAGTTTCAGTTGGTATTAATATACTGCACATACTTTTGGTGTAGGTCATTATAACCATATGCTTTGGTTAATGATCTTACTGGTCGTTTTCTTTTGCTATTTTAGATTCTGCATCTCGTGGAGCTACTTTGCTTGGCACTTAATGATGAATTCAGAAAGTATCTTCCTGATATACTTCCCTGTTGTATTCAACTTCTTACTGATGCGGAAAGGTTTAATGACTACACATATGTAATTACTATTCTTCACACCCTTGAAGTCTTTGGTGGATAGTCTTCCTTGGTTGTTTCTGTGGTCCATGCCTTGGTTAGTATCACTTTGATGTTGATGGTAGTGGTCTCACCTTAATGTGCAGGGACATTAGATGAGCATATGCATCTTCTTTTTCCTGCACTTATTCGGTTGTTTAAAGTGGACGCTTCAGTAGAAGTAAGATGTGGTGCAATCAAAATTCTTACAAGATTGATACCTTGTGTGCAGGTTGGTGTAAAAGGGACTAAGGGAATGCTTCTAAGTTTCATTGTTTCCATATGATTGCTTGTTTTCCTAAACTCTTTTCCTTTTCTCTTCATTTCCATTCTGCAGGTTACTGGACACATATCTTCGCTTGTGCATCACTTGAAGCTTGTCTTGGACGGGTCTGATTTTTCTCCTTCACATGAATATCACTGATAATATATGAGACTTATTTTCCTTGAGTCAATAGATGATAACAAATGAACTGACAAAGATCTATTGTTTGTGGGTTTGATGTTGACTCTAGTGAGTACACTCTCAGATATCAAATTCCGACCCATATGTAGCTACACTCGCACACACTTATATAGAAGTGAACCTTGAACTCTGATTTATTAACTTGGAGTGTATACTAATTGCAGCTTCTGCTTCCTTTTACTGAAGGTGATCCAGTAATTTGACACAAATGGCTGGAAAATTTTGAAGCAAACATTAAAATTTAAATCATTATATTAGTGTTTCAATTTCAGTCAATATTGCAAGAGTTTTTCTCATGTCTGTCCAAACTTCGAAAACTCAGTTGATTTTATCTTATCGTTTTTTACCTTATCCTTTCTGTTTTAATTCTAAAGCAGACTGAATTGTGAGTTTTTGTACCTGATAAAAGCTTTGTACTATGTGATTTCTGCAATACTTTCTTCAAGTTTGTGTTGATAAATTCTTGGTGCTCCCTTCCATTCACAGGAACAAAGAAGAGCTCAGGAAAGCTGTTATTGCTGCACTTCATTGCCTAGCTCATGCTCTTGGAGAGGACTTCACCATTTTTATTCCTTCTATTCACAAGCTTATGGTTTAACACAGGCTGCAGGTTTGCATTGATTTTTGGGGTTCTCCCATCACTACTACGACATTATAAAGGCTTATACTGGTGAGGAATTTGTTCTTGATACGATAATTTTTCATATACAACACAAGGAATTTGAAGAAATCCAGGGACGGCTGGAAAAATGCGAGCCATTGATTTTTGGAAGCACCACACCTCAGAGATTAAATCGGTGGCTGCCGGTTGAGGTCATCGGTGATCCTTTAGGCGATGGAGAGAGTGACCTCTATTAGGTTGGGACCGACATGTAGAAGCAGCTCGAGCTCAGAATGACAGTTTAGGGAGTCCCTCGTATTCTCTTTTGATATCTAAACTGTGAGAACACAATCTCATTTTCAGTTGGGGGTGCCTCCCTTGTAGTCATTTTGTTGATTGTTTTTGCATATAGTGATTGCGCCCTTGTAGGGCGTACTTTTCTTTCTTTGTCATGGATTGGTGTGCCCTTATCGGGATTTGATATTGTGGATGTTTCTGTTGATATTGTGTTGGATTGGTCTATTTTAGTTTTTGATTTGTAGTTTATAGCTTCTTTGTTTTTGTTTTGATAATAAGATTTGGATTGACGATGCCCGATGATGGATATAGGGTGACGACTTGGTTAAGGGTAAATTGTCGACTTTTGAGTGTTTGATTTTGTCGAAGTCTGAGTAGCCATTCTCGAATAGATGCATGAGGTTGTTGATGATGGATTGGTTGACGACTTTCATTTTAGGCAAAATCGTCATCTTTTTGGTAAGGTTTTGACTTGGTTGGAACTAAGAGCATAGTCATGTGAATAGTGTTGAGCATACCTCTTCGTTTTTAAAAGGTTGAGCATGTTATGAATGATTTTTTTGACAACTCTTACAACTTTTTTTGTGACTTTTGATTCGTTAGCGGTTAAAATGTTCAATGCTACTTGTATCTTGAAAAAGAAGTAAGATTTTGAACCATCTTGATTGATTGCAGGTCATGTGTGGTGAGTTGTTGAATAATACCTTGTGTCCGCTTTTGTCACCTAGAACTTGCCCGGTTGGTCTTGAAATGTTGGTCTTGTTTGAGTTTGGTTGGAGAAATGATCTTAGGCTTTCTTTGATGTTCTTGAAGTCCACTTGGCCTAAAAATCCCACATTTTGCACTAAATATATCCTTAGTTGTCCCCTTTGAGTATTGGCAACCACATTACAAGCCTTATCCTTTTTGAAAAAGTAACCCTCTTTTGAACCCTTCCCTCCTTTAACTTGAGATTGTGAAAGTTGAGGCTAAAAGCCTAAGTTGGGGATGTTATGAGAAATTCATTGAAGGGAAGCTTACCACATGAGGACATGATATAAAAAAAGAAAAAAAAGAGAGAAATTGAGGGATGGATGGAAAGACTTAAGAAACAAAATGAATAAATGAGACTTGAATCCCCCAAAAGTTGAAAATGGTCGCATGTTGGACATCTGGAGTGGAAATAAGAAAAGGAAAATGAAAAATAGTGTGGGATGTGCATGGGCTTGAAAAGTGAAGAAAAGCGGATAAAGTTGGAAGTAATGAATTGTTGTGTAGTGTTCAAAGAGGGTGTAGTCACACCTAAATGATATCCCAACCGTCCCTAAGCCTATATTATAAGCTTAACAAAGTCCTTCGAGATTTCTAACCAAATGGAGTTGAGTCAATGTTGATTGAAAATATGGGCAAGCCTATGGTGTGACATTTGTGTGTATGAGTTGATTCTTTGTGAGTGTGAGTGTTGCATCTTTGTCCCTTGTCTTGTTTATATGTGTGTGTGGTTTTGGGACACTTCTTTCTTGTGAGGGCATGTAAGTTGAAAAGGTGGTAATTTTGGAAATTTCTAATTGAGTCAAGTGAGTATGTGAAAGAGTTAATGAATTGAGTCATTTCTTGAGTTTGAGTTGTTGTCACTTAAATGATTCTTAGTTTATGAAAATGTTTCATGAGAATGAGAGGATTTCTTTTGTGAAGAGTTTGCATGTGGACTATTTGTCAGTACCAACCGAAGCCTTTTACCTTTGTGCTTAACTGAAAAAGGGAAACTGATTTGTGGTGTGTTTTGAAGCAAGAGCCTCTTGTGTTCGACCGCGACTCTTAGTTGGCTATTTTTTGGACCCACAAGAACGTACAATTTAACATACGTTAAATGAAACAGGAAAGTACTCAAATAGCATAAAAAATTAAAGTTAACGGTTCAAAAGCCATAGTACTTTGTGGTTTTCAAGTTCATCGGAGTTCATTGGAGTCCTAACCCTAGTGGTGGTTCGCCTTCGTAGTCAAGCTCGTTGTTCCCAGTCGCTGCTCCAGGAAAGGTAAAATTTATCATCTTATTTAAATCCTTGTATAACCTCGTTGGGTTGATTAATTCGATGTACTCTTAGCTAGTTAGTCTGGTTTCTTTCTTGTTTAACAATTCATTTTTTAAAAAAAGCTTGATTCTGTTTTTAGCATGTTAATCTCCGTTTTGATTAGTTTTATCTCTATGTTGGCGTTTAAATAGGTGATATTGGTGTGATGTTGTAAATTGCTCGTATATGAGTTGTTGTGGGTTAAGTTCGGTCATTGTGTTAAATGGTCGAGTCTTAAATTTTCCTTTAATGCTTGTTTTTCTATTTATTGTCTAAGATGTGATTCATTGTTTAAGGTGTTTTGTAGAACAATTTTCAAGTTAATTTTTAGTTTATACTTACTGTTCTTTGCTCTTTATTTGGTTCAAGTGTTTTCAATATAGTTTCAATATGATCTAGTTTGGTTCTTTGCCTTTTGAATATAGAATACAATTTATATGTTTGATTGCCCACTGATTTCACCTCAGTTTTTACTTAGTTATCTAGCTTAGTTCAAAACCATATATTTTAGATTTGTATCTCATGAATCAGCTGTATGTTTGAAGGTCAGAGAGGTTTAGAGTAAGCGCTCAATCATAGAACCACCAATACGAAATGTGTTGCCTCCTTTTTAATGACAGTACTATTGTTAATGCTTGCATGTCCTTTATTTATTCATTTTTCCTCTTTTAGTCAAAGCTATGTCACTTGAGAGCTGCTGATGACTCCAAAAGTTAATTGCTTACAAGGAAGATCCATCAGAAATGGGCGGGTTAGAGTTGAAATTCTAATGATCAATCTATTTATCCCCACTCTATTCAGCTCCTTTTCTCTGCTAGTTTTGGGAATCCTGCCTTTTTCCATTAGAAATTATAGAACTGGTGAAGAATCTGTCATATTTTTGCAACTCAGAAATATTTTTTGGGTGTATTCACAGATAAATCATTCTTAAAGGGCAAGAGAGTCATTCGCCTTACAATTTTGCCAAAGCGAAACTATGTGAGTCTTCCTTGCTTGTTTGTTCTCCGTATATGACGAAGTTTTGACACTTCTATCCTTTATACTGGTTTCTCTACATTATGTTTTACTCCGTTGGAATATTCTTTTCATGTGATTCATTGGTTTCATTTAAAATTTTATTCCAGCCAACGAGTATTTCATGGAATTCCTTTCGTGATAAGCGAGAAGGATATTCTGATAAAGTTGTTGTTATAAGGTTCTTTCTCGACACTCTTACTTGATGATTTGTTCTTGTAGCAAGTTGCGTTTGGTTTTTCTCTTGTGCTTGTTTATGAAGAGATGCTATCTTGCTTGTAATAGTTCCTGAAGACTGTCTTACATGAATTTGGAAGGCAGTTTCACTGACTGTGAATGATGCACTTTTTGTTTAGATTAAGTTAATAATTTGTAGTCGCTTTGGAGTTCAAATGTGAAATGTTTGTTTCGTGTTCTATTGATATGTTACTTGGATGCTGTGGCTCTAGATTTTTATCATCGAAGAAAATAGAACCTCCAAAACTTTATTAGTATACCCAAGGATAGTTTACTTCATTGTTCAATCAGTAGTCTCAATCCAACATCATTTATTGGATACTGACATATCTTATGTATCTCTTCCAGTACCCTGAACTAGAAGCATCTGGAATGCTTTCATTGATGCCGACTTCTGGTTAGCCTTTTTCTCAATTCCTCTTTTCTTGTTTTGTTGTTGAGTTCAAGAGTTGAAAATTATGGTCTATGGAGCAGGTCGTTGCTAATTGCTTTGCTCAGAAAAGGGAAGCTAGGTTTTGTGAATGGAACTTCCAAAAGGGAGTCACAGAGAACTGATATTTGAAATCTGTGGGACAAATGTAAAAATATTGTGCATTTGTGGATCATGAATTCCGTTTTGAAGAGTTTACTGAATGAGATAATATATGGATCAAATGCACATGCAGAGTGGGAAGATCTAAAGGAACACTTCAACAAAGTTCACATAGAATCTTTCAGTTGCACAAAGAGATCACCAGACCATCTCAAGGTACGAATTATGTCTCTATCTATTATTCGAGGTTGAAGGAGCTGTGGGATAAATATGATATGATTGTGCCTGGACCGAGTTGTGGTTGTGATAAGTCGAAAGACTATCCATCTCTGGAACATAGATTATTGCAGTTTCTGGATGGTTTAAACGATTCATATTGTCACACTAGGCAACAAATTTTGCTCAAAACAAATTCCAACTGTGAATCAAGCGTGCGTATGCAATGGTTACTCTTCTAAAGGTGTTTTAGTGTTGTTAAATTTTCTTTCCTTTAGTATGGGGTCTGCTCATCTAAATCGATTAGTGATATATTTGAGGTAGCCTTTGTTTGCTTATCTAAATCGATTAGTGCTTAGCTAAAAAAAATTATAGCGGAGGGAACTAGTGCTTCATGCTTGTCTCTTTTATTTATACGGGTCATTTATGCTTTAATTCATCCAAAGAATTTCAAAACAATGTAGAGGAGGTAGTAGCTAACAAGACATTACATGGTAGTAACTTACATAAATAGTTGATTCTTCACTACAACTTTTCTTTAAAAAATCTATATAAAATTTAAATGATGGTATTCTTAGAATTGTACATTTAAGAGTAGATACTGATTACAAGCTCTAAAGTCATATTGGCGAGAGAGCTAGAAATATATAAAGAGGCTAGTG